CACCTTTAAGCTGAACAGAAAATGGAAAAGCAAGATGGTGTTTATTGAATTAGCTTGCCTCAAAATTAAAGGACTGAAACCCGCTAAGAATTCATTCCTATCTTCTTTTTTAATATTCGCAGACCCTTTCCAACAATCTGTTGCCAACCGCATAACCACATAAAGTTCATTTCCTGTATTTCTTCCCAATGGGCTATATATAATAATCTTTGTTATTTTCTCTTTACATTTTTGATTGGTTTTAAAGAATTCTTTCCACAGCTCTAAAAGTTTTTTTTTGGGATAAATAAGATTCACATTTTCGCGACAGTTGATCCTTGCTGCTACTTAGCTAAATTTATCAATTTCTGATTGAGTTTTTGAGTTTAGTTAATTTTTTATTTTTTCATATGCTCTTAAACAAATCTAGTTTCTTTTGTATTCTACTAGAAGCTTCTAACAAGAAACCATAATCTAGTAATAAAAAAAAATTTATTAAAACTAGAATTCTGGAGGCTCTGGTTAAAAAAAACTATCAAATGAGTTTAGAGTCTCCTGATTGAATTTCTATTTCCAACTAATACATCCACAGTCAAATGAATAATACATTAATTAAACACAAACAAAAAACTCATCTACTGGACAACTAAAACCTATTTCTTATCATTTGAAATTCCTTTTTGATCTAGAGTAAAAAGTTATAGAGAAACATAAAAAAGAATATTTAGAAACAAGAGAATACTTTACATAAAAAATTTTATAAAATCGATGAAAACATTATATAAATTTTATTAGTAATGTTATCTGTATTTGAATATTATAAATACGGACCGAACAAAGCAAGAAAGGCGTCTACTTTTTTTTGTGTACCATCAATATTTAATTTTCTTTAACTATAACTTTTATTTAATTTATTTTTTTCTAAAAATGACAAAAAATAGGCCAAGAATCCTGTTTGAAGCACGATTTCTAAATTATTTATCTTTCGATATACTTTACTTTTAATATATTAAAGTTTTTATTATTTCCTTTAAATAACTTTTTAATACTTTAGTATACTAAGGCATCACTGAAATTTTTTATGTGCTTATAACTTCTAGAGGGTGCATTATATTCTTATCCAAATTAATTTTCATCAATTTTTTGTGCGCCGTTGAAGCTTAACGGATACTCGCGAACGTGGCATCCAAGACCTAGAAAAGTCAATGACATAAACTTAATTAACCGCGTACTTATCGAGGGCTTGACTAAAACTTTGGTTCAGGGGGCCCCCCCTGTCTCCCTCCCCCCAATTTTCAGGGTTTTTATCTTAATGATGTGCAAGTCTCCCAAGTGAAGATAGTAGGATGAACTTTTAAAGTCTTGTTTGCTATTTACTTAGATAACGCTTATTTAATTCGGCATTTTATGAGATGGCGAGCTACATAATTAAAAGGACTTAGAAAATCCATCATGTCAGTTTTTAAAAATTGCTTCTATTGCACGTAACTAATCATATTTACAAAGCAGTTATCTAAAGTTAGGCTTTCTTGTTGCCTTTTCTTAACTAAAAGTTTAAATATTATTAAAGGTTTATGGTTATAAATTTAATTTATAAATATTATGCTTATAATTTTTGTGATCACAGTTGTTGGGTGTCCACCTTTAGGTCTTCTGAAGTATTACTTTTTTGGCTAAGTAATTTTAATTAAAAACGAGCTTATTGGTACCCTAAAGGCTTACAAAAAAATTTTAAAGTTAGGGGTGACGCAAACGAGTCTGGTTACTTTAGCAGGAGTTACGGGAGGAGGGTTTTTTGCTTTTCCCAGCATGGGTACCTACCCTCAAAGACTAGAAAAGAGAGTGGCGTCGACTGGACTCGATAATCTACAACTTTTCTCGATCCCAGCATGATGGTTAATTTAACCTGTCATTTTGTGCACCACGACTTCCTGAAATTTGCTATAAATTTTTACCCAATTACATAGTGCTTCATTTAGTATACATATTTATATAATTAGAAACCTAAACTACGTAAATTAATAACTACCGACTATATATAAAGTACTTATATATATACTAACTTTTTCCTTTTACTTTTTTTATATAATTAATTTATCTTTATATTAATTATGAGTACTTTTTTTGAAGGGGAACTGCAAGAACTCATTGTTAACTAGTTAGCTTTAAATTAAGAACTCAGAAAATATATTTTGAATCTACAAAGGCTAAACTTAAGGTAATTAATAAAGCCACTAGGATAAGAAGAAGACAATGGTGATTAATAGTATAACTAACAATAACAATGTATATTCGGTCTTACAAATTCTGTAGCAACCATATTCTTCTGAAGTGATGCTAAAAGACAGTGTGATTATTAAGGTTGCAAAAAAACTAAGCTATTTACGGTAAAATAGATAATATTAATAATTATAGTAGTAATAATCTTGCGGCTAATAGCCCCCTTAAAGCTTCCTTAATTAATACATTACTGATAGCAACAACAGTAATTGTAAATAATATTTTACGTAGTGGTAAGCATAATGTTATTAGTAGTAGTATTTCTAATAGAAATAATAATAGCCCTGTTAAGAACAACGACAACTTTAATTTTTGGTTAGAGACGCAGAGGAGCCCTTGAGGACTTGTCATGACACCGTAGACAAAAAGATGAGATTTGTTTTCGACACTCCCCCTTTTATTAACGCTCGACAATTTACTGCGGCAGTTCTCCTACAAACTCAAAAAGAGAAAATTCCACCCAACACCCTTTGTGAAACCAAAAGTGGCCCTTTCTGTACAACTTTTGCTAACCAGTGGCGTGAAGATTCCAGGTCAAGATATAAGCGTTTTAGAATTAAAATATTTATGAGAATGGCTGAAAAATACCGCGCTACGATCAGCGACCATGCGTAACCAAGAACTGTAAAATTCACCTATTGATTACCTGGAGACAATTCAATTTAGATTGTTATCCTTAAAAATATTTATTGTTAACTCGACATTTCCTCCGTCCAGGCGGGCCTACGCGCACAAGGTATCACACCCCTCCGAGCAGCTCGAATGCACACGAAGACACTGTAATTGGTGAACGAAAGAAGCGTCCGTTAATATTAATGCTTAGGAATTTATTTAGCACTATACTACAAAAGTTGTTGGAACTGAATAATATCTCCCATTTTCAAATTAAGGTAGAATAACTTCGAAAAGTTATCTATTTGACCAATGCCATCGTGGTCAGGGCTTTGACGAGTTTTTATCCTGCAGCTTAACAATGTATTAAAATGCAACGAGGCGCACCTAGTCAGTTTTCACGGCTCCAAGAAATATGAGCTGCAGGGGTTGTTGCTTTGTGGAAGATACCACCAACAAAACTCGCCCCACTAACGTCGCCAAGGCCATATTGATGCACATGGCGGCGTGACTTCTTGGTTAAACGAAGCATTTATGATCAATATTTTTTTACCAGCTCTATAGAGTAATGAGGCAGTGGAAATTTATTTATGCTTAGCTAACTAGGGGACCGTTTCTGTGATCGCTGTCTATAAATCCTTAGAAGCTACTGACGCCCTTCTGTCTGTACGCCATCCTTGTGAAGGTCTCACCCGCTGTTCTGTGCAGAGATCTAAATCTGCAAGCGCCCAGCCGGGTCGATAATTTGAATCGCCAAACAATTGAGCCCACAGCGTCCAACGCACTTGGAGACGAAAGGCTCAATGATCACTGGCTATCGCCATATAAAAAGAATACGCCTCTTGACGGAGAGCGAATCGCTCAATGAACTGTTGTCTGACCACCTTCCAGTTCTTCTTAAACAAGGCAAGGGGGAGGGATACATCGTAGACCCTTTATACTTGATTTAGAGACTGTTACAAATTGGGACCACTCTTGCGCCGTCCACGTCATTGCTGAAAACGCCGACCTGCTCAATGATGTTGTTGACTGCTTTGAAGGAGCACTAGCATGGCTTACGTTGCCTCCACGTGCAAAACGTGAGGGAAAGTACGCCCCTAATTATTAGTTGGACAAAGTGAAGGCACTTATATTAACTTCGAGGTCTTATCCAAGTGGCCATGCTCCGCGTACTGATGACAAACTAGCGCTTAACCACATGCACAAGTTCATCCTTTGTGTACGTCCGTTTTATATAGGAAAAACGTTACTTCCTATAATTGTAGGTAGCTTAGCCTTAAAGTTTTACATTTTATATCCGCTAATACGCAGTAGTTAAGTAGATTTTAAAACAAACTAATAAATTAATGACCAAAATAAGTCCATTAAATATGCCTACTGAATATTGTAAGCTTCTTTCCATGGTATTTGCGACAGCGTCGTGCTAGATTCCTAGTTGCACAGGAAGGTGATATCGAACCAATCATTCCACCATTTTTCATCTGTCCTGGTCTAAGAGGGCATTGAGAGGCCACCTGGAGGCGAGTTGTAGAATTTTCTTTATTTGTTAGGTTAAAGTCTCAAGTTTTTGGTTACAAAGATATTTTTGTTGAATGCACGGTCGTGTTAAAGTTAGAACCTCGGATGAGAAGGCTGAAAGGTTAAGAAAAGAGTTGGAAAGTCGTATGTCATATTTTGACAAAAATAAAAGTTCCATGATGGAATTGGTATCTCTCTCTCAATACTCTGACTTGGGTCAATGCAATAACTTGTTACTTTTTGTTGCTAATAATAAGTAAAGAGACATAAGTTTTACTTTATCTTGTAAATTTTAACTTTACATTTAGTGTTTAAAAATTTTTTACAAATTCGCTTTATAAAATTTATAACTATATTTAACTATTTTTACCGGTAGAGAAACAATAACGATAAATCAATTACTGCTTTGGAGACTACCGAGTGTATATTAAAAATTAATTGTGACTATTATACTGCTTGGAATTACAGAAGAGAAATACTTAAAGCTTTGTTAAGGCAAATATCTTTATCTTTTCATTTTATCTTAAGTTAATAACTTTTTATAGTTAATATTATAGGCTTTAATATATATTTTTTATCAACAGATCTTTGAATTGTAATGAGCAGCATCGGAAAGAATTAGCTTTGACCGAAATTTGTTTACGAGATAACCCGAAGGTGCGTCGTCTATAATTATATTAAATCGTTCCCTAAGTATTCTAATTTTATTCACAAAGTTTAGTCTTATTGGGTATGGAACCATCGCCGCTGGTCCTGCTCGAGTATGCTGCAAACAACTTCAAGCAATAAAAACAGTCCCGCTCCTGAACTCCTTGAGTTTTCAGTTGAAGTAGACTGGAAGCAGGAGCTTTTATTCTGCGAGAAACTTCTCAATATTGACGAGCGAAACTGTATTTTCATAACTGAGACGAAATTATTGTATTTTATATTGTGTGAACTACAGTTCATTGCTGGGATCACCGTCGTTGGGTTATTTCGCAGTTTGGCGCTAGCAAATACCACGAATTTGCGTTAACTACGAAATTGATTACTTTGTAGAAGTCCATTATATTTGTTAATATTGTGAATATGCTTTAAGTCAACTGTTAATAAGGAACTTCAGCAACTACTCTGCTTGGCACTACCGCTCTAATCTATTACAAGGTTACCTTTTTTTCTTGCTCAGTTTTATTCTCTCTTATTTGGACTTAGAGCTGTATATTATTGGTTCCAATAGCTCTGCTCTTTTGAAAACTTTACAGAGTGGTTCTTATTTATATGCTTCTGTTCCTTTCGCCCTTACTAAAACTGTTGGTTTTTCCCTACGAATTACCTGCGTTAGAGCTCGACCTAGTAAACAGCGCCTGCTTCACAGAGCCAACCGATCAAAGTGTGTGGCTCTACCAAAAATGGTTGCTTTCTAAAGGTAATAGCAAAGTACATTATATTTTTAAAAATTTATAAGACTGCCATTTTTTTCCAGTTCCCTTGAAAGTAAGTCCTTGGGTAATTTATTTGTGGAACACGGGCAACAATTTATATATCCTTCTTATTCTATCTGAAGCTTTCACGGTTGGCATGGTTCTCAGAAGTTGTATATTGAGCCCATGTTCATATCTAACGCAGGACTCCATCCCTATTGTGTGCTATATTAACTTCCAGAGGACTGAGCTGAGCTGGGCCCCGTTAGACCGAGAGTTGCAGTCGCACAAGCATTACTTTTCTTCCTGTCGACTTTTTATTATCTTTTGCTATTGATTTTAACGTTCTTATATATTATAAGACGAGCTTTTGCCGTCTCAGCTTGAGACCCCCTATGAGGTGGCGTTGTTCTTGGAGGGTCATTTCTCAAACGAGCAGTTTCCCTTACGCGTATCGTTGTTCCGCGGTACTGTGGTGACTTTCTCCCCCTCTTTGACCCCTCTCTATCCCCTGACTTGCGCAAGGATCCTTCTGGGTCAAATTTTTTGGGGGTTCTCTACTTGCGGAGCTCTCGAGGGGCATTCTCGAGGCTCAGCTGGAAAAGTGCCATCAGTTATTTCAAATGGAGCCCACTTGCAAATGTAGATGTATTGCTGTTGTCTGCGTACTTTCCTTGCTCAACTGAACTTGAGGGGCCCTTTTGACTGTCACACTCTTAAGACAACAGCTGTTTGGAGACTCGGACGTGTAATAAACATTGCTATGCCTCTATCATTTCCCACTTGATACTTTTGCACTGCCTTTTACAATTTTGTATAGAAACTGTTTAGTGACATCCCTGAAGAAGTTACGAGAGATCGACCCGTATAGAGCAAATTTTTACGTTGACTTTTGTGCGTTACTATTAAGTAATTGTAATTCATTCACTGCTGAAACAAATTTAAAATAGCTTCGGAAGTTTCTCTGTGGAAAATGGTAAAGGATGCATTGGAAAGTGGAACTCAAGGTCTCTGCTTGCTTTTCTGTATATATATTTATCCAGGTTTTGCTAACACTTTTTTTTACGGGTGCACTTATCCATCAAAAGCTATTTGTGAGTAGTAGTCGAAAAATTTTAGCTGTTTTGTCTATGTAAGGCTCAAACCATATATTAACTTGATTAAATATTCGCTTCTTAGGAGAGATAAGCTTGGAAAGGCTGGGAATATCTGACTTATCAAAAAAACTGTGCCTGTTACTTTCAGGTAGCGGTTTTCTTTTTTTCACTGCTTGATATAAACAAGGGTACACTCTTGAAGGCATTCAAGTTTTGTGTTTGAAAAGTAATAGCATTAGAAATATGCACAACATGCGATATCTCTACATGCTCAGGAAACTTATAGTTGATGACAATAAGATCGAAGCCGTTACTGTTGAACTCCGGAGTCTGCCTTTTCTCGTGTTTTTCTCAGCCCAAAACAACCGTATTGACCTTGTTCATTAGCTGCTTATTTTCAGCTAACAAGCAATAGTTGTTACTCGTCTTAAGGGCTTGGAAGGCTTTAGAGATTCCGGTCTGCGTGAAATCAATTTAAAGGGCAATCCGGTCACTGCAAGCCCCTACTACCGCGCGTTGTTGTTGAGTTATTGTTACAAGCTGGAGTTGCTGGATAATTCGTCTGTCGTCTAATACCGTATTTCTTTCCTGTCGCACAGACTGTATTCATTCACTTTTTGGCCTTCATAAATCTGTTGTGAAATTTAGGAAGAGATTATATAATAAAATAGTCATTTTTGTATATCACGCGAGTGTTATGTTTTAATTATTAATGACAAGGGAACTCTATAGTTATTCTAGTGCCGAAAGGACGTGCCTTAAACCTTTTTTTGAAAGCCCGTTTGTTTATATAATATTTCGAGCGACTCTATATAGTACGGCCTTTTTTAAACACGTATGAGAACTCTTTCCATCTTTTGCAAAGTTACATTTTTTTATTGGTTATTATTACTCGACAGTTGATACATTATGTATGTCCAAATCGAAAATATTAGAATATTTGTGAATAGAAAACCTTATCAGCATTAGAAGCAAACCTCTTTGGATGCCTGTTATAGGGCCAGATAGATTTCTGCTTCCTTCAATAATGTTAGCAAAAAGTGGGCATGATACTCATTTACTTTTTTCCACACTTTTTGAAGGAACTATCGGCGAAAGCGGGGCTAATATAGACTAGAAACCAACATGGTTATGTCCTTAAGCAGTGTATATTACTCTTGCGAACAGCCTTAAAGAATCCTGTTATTCTTAATTCAGCGTGTGGGAAGGACCTTCTCTTGTCCTTAACGCCTATTCTTCAGTAGGCTGGTAGCTATGATACACTTACCAATAAATTTTATTAAATCTTTCAAGTAATTTAAAATATACTCATAGTGATCACTATAGTAGTCGGTACCTGGAGGAGCGGTGTAGCATTGTTACCACTTAGGCAGCCGAGAGTAATATTTTACTTATGATAATACTGCCACCCATCTTATTTTTTAGTATTTCATTTAAAAGAAAGGAAAATAATGTTACTATTGAAGCTTGGAATAGTATCTATAAATTTCTAAAAAGCATCAATCAAGGAACTATTATTGTTGAAAAAGAAAGGGTAGTAGTAGACAAAAGTCTTTTTATAAAGTAATATTTTTGAATAGCTGTCGGTGAAGCAATTTTTAAGGAGGTAAAGCTAATCATTTCTTTTTATTAAATTTGGGAAGCGAATTTCTGTAAGGATATTAAAAATTTACTTTACTCATTAATTATACTCAATAAAAGTTTAAGAAAGAAGAACTAAGCTGACTAAAATCCATTAATGAATACCGTACTGCTCCGCTGATTTTCACTTTCTGTTTACGGGTTGAGCGTCTACTTCTCAGAAAGGATTAGTAAAGACACGCTACTATTCTTTCGCACAATGGGAGGTTGAATCCCTGTCAGCTGCTTATAGCCTATCTGACCCTTCAATAGCGTTAGATTCTCTAAGTTGGCACCAATATTTATAAACCTATAAAAGCCCGTCTGATAGGCCCTAAGATCCACCCCAGATAGGTATCTATACAGCGAAGCCTTCGCCCTAGTAGGAGTGCTGGGATCACACCAGCTAAGGGACCCCCGTACTTCGGTTCTGCAAAAAGCGTGTAAAAACTGTCTATTTCTCACAATTCTTCTTATTGACGATGCCGTCTCACTTTCGCCCAAATATACTCCCCTCCAAGGAGCTCCCCATTCACAATCTGAAAATTGGTAGGAGCTGTTCACTACCCCTTCGTTGCCTCAAAATAACTAATGCTCTAGAGTTGAGGGCGGTGATGGGGATCATCTAGAGTGTTTGGGTTTCAGAATTAACTAAGAGAAAGGAGATGTAGTATAAACCCTCCTTATATTTAACTGCTACTTCCAAATTCTCCCGGTTCCCCTTTTACTCCACCACGTGATGGAAATACGGAACTTTCGCCACCATAGGATGGGTATAAAAGGTTGAACCGGTATCTAACAGAGACTCAGTTTAGCTCCGTGGTCCGAGGGCCCAGAATTACCATCAGGCACCACGGAAAAGGTAAGCTTAACTCGTTCTCTGTGCTTGATACAATAAGCTCTAAAGTATGCGTCCAAGAACTCGCGCTTATATTTAGAAAGTTTTGAAGGTTATTGAAGCAACTTATTTGATAGAATTTATAACTTTTTAAGGGTGGGTCCAACTGTAGTTAATATGAACAATGTATATATACAAACATTACTATGATAAAAGAAAAGTAAAAAAAAAAAGGTTATGTTTTAATATATTTACTGCCCTATTCTCAAAATATTAAATAGTAGAATATTTTTTTAAAAAGCAGTTGCCTCGCTGAAAGATAATTATATTTTTAATTAACATTTATAGCAACAAAAATACACAAAAAGATTGAAAAAAAGGTTTAAAATTTTAACTCGCAGTAAAAAAATAAATTTATATCTTTTTGCTTTAAAACTCCCAAGTCCTAACATCAAAGGCAACTACTGGGCATCAAAACTGCACCTGCTTACTATAGACAGATACACTAATACACCAAGTCGTACAAAAAAAAAATTGAACTGTAAACTAGCCCCACATCTATCTAGTTTATTTAAATAAGAATCTTAAGCAGCAAATTGGGTAAACAAATTACAGGAAATTTAAATAAGAAAGCCTAGTACCATGAGAGCTCAGCTGTAGTTCTATGCATTTGGAAGTTATAATATGAGACAAAAAGTTTAACAACGTGAACGCAAGAGGAAAATTGTTAGTACGAATGTTTTTCTGACAATATTAATCGTGATTTTACTAGATAAGAATGTGGTATAGTAAAGATTTAAAATGACGTATAACGGATGTTTTACATGCAGTGTAAGACGCCCCATTTTACATCGGACCCTAGTAAGTATCACCCGACCCGTTATCCCTCTAAGGTGTAAGCATGCTGAAATTCCAGTTTGGTATAGTATCGAACTATTAGTCAGTCGAGATTATTACCTTAACCTAGTGCAGCTAGACCTGAAAAGTCAAATATGCTTGCGGCTTTGATAACTTCTTAGTAACAAAAAATTTTGTGACAGCATTACTAGCGGCCATCTATGAACTTACCACAAAATCTATGATATACAGTTAAAAGGGGAATCCGATATATGTAGTTAAAAGTTGATCGGCTGAGGGCGTGCACGTCGCGCTCTTTTTTTTTATACGTATTGTTTGTTTGGTGGGGGTATTAGCGATTCATATGGATCAAGAGCTTTCAAAGAAAATATTACATTGCTTTTAAACGTTAACTTTAAACTATAATTATTTGTAGTTTATTTTTTCTACACTATACTACTTATTTTCATTGTTTATAATATTTGTGTTCTTAAAGATTCAAGCCTGTAAGGTCGACATATATATATATATAACTTATAAAAATTACGATGCATGTGAACTAAATATAATCCCTAATCTGCTTATGTAGTCTGCGCTCGGTATATATAGAGCTTCTTCGAAAGTCAATAATAATATAGAAATATAGAAATTATAGACAGAGCATATAGTAGTTTATCCAGAAATGCAGAATGCTTTAGAGTAATGTAATAATTTAGTATTTTAAAATCCCTGGGCATCCACAACAAATAACTGTACAACTAATGAAAAAAGGTTAAACAAAATTGATGCTGAGATATTATTTATTATCATATAAAATATTTCGAATTTTACCCCATACTAGACACACAGTTACGGGAAAACAGATATGAATTAAGAAAGATTACCCTCCGGAGCTACATACACTATTTCACACTATTTCTAATCACACAACGACGTAATTAAACTGGAAATTCGGTATGTGGTACTGAAATACAGGCATCCTCGGCCTTATAAATATTTCGTAGGCTGTCTGTAATAACCTGACCTAAGATTATGCCCTAAGTGTTCCATAATTGAATGGAGCAGATTTTTGAAGTTGCTGTTAGTCTCATTTGTTTTAGGGTTATTATAATAATTAATACAAAAATAGAAAATTAAAAGTAATGTTATAAAATTCTTAAAATATACTTTCTAAAATATTATGAAGTTGATAGATGCTAATATTGGGACGCCTTACACACAAACTAAGAAAACAGTGTTCTTCAAATACTAAGGTAAGTCTCTCTCTACCCGTCCGTTATAATTATTTAGTCACTAGCCCTTTCACTTAACGTTTGTAATTACAAGGGATTGCTTAAAATAAACTTGTAAACTTATTTATACTGTTAAAATCCTATGGTGAGTGAAAAAAGATATTTATTAAATTTTTAAAATACTAGTTCCTAATTATCTTTAGCCTCCTTGGCAAATTTCATGAATATCTGCAGTTAATTAATTGTTAATTATAAGCTAAGAAGTCATTATCGTGAATAAATTACTAAATAAATAATAATTAATTGGTGCTTAACTTTTTCAAGAGATGTTTGCCCGAGCTGATAACTTTCAACGGCGCTGTCCTTAGCGATACTTTCTGCAATCAACAAAAAGTCTTTCAGTTGAATAAGATGTTTAGAGACACTGCAGATAATTAGTCCCTAGAACCTCATCGTTAGAATATATTTACTTTAAAAAATAAAAAAAACTTAGAACCTGAAGGTTTTCAATATTTGAAAAAGGAAGGTTATCTTTTAAATAAGCACAAACTCTTAAAATAGAGCTTTCATCACCTTTTACAAAAGGTATGTAAATTATCAGTATAAATAACAAATAAACTATAATCTCTTACTGGTGTCTTTGACTTTTATAAATATGCATATTTCGTTGCCAAATCGAGATTTTAGATGTTGCACGGACCCGATACACTTTGCTACACCACGAGATATAATTATTAGTCTATGGCAAAGTGCTTCACATTCCTCCATCCTTAAATTTTTTAAGTGAGGGGGGGGGGGGGGAGGGGAAATTTTTTATGCTCCAATAACTTACGAGTGAGACGTTAAAAGAATCACATTTCCCATGTCAACGTAATTAAGCAAGAGGTCCCAAAGAACTCTTCTAGCTGCGGGGTCTATTCCTGCCGTCGGCTCGTCCAAGTAAACCACCTTTGGGCAGCCTACCTACACATAATAGTTAATTTACGCGATCATTGGCTATTATGTTGTTTATAATGGCGCGTACTAGCGATATTGCAACACATAGTTTTCTTTTATTACCACCGCTGTACGTCCCACACTTCTTCTGAG